CTCAGGTGGGAGAGGGAGCAGCCAGGCGTGTGTCCGCACTGCCCTGGGGCCTTCCTCTCGGCCGGGGAGTGAATGCTGGCCCTGGCGCCCTCTGCCTGTGGGCTGGAGGGCACCGTGGCCGGCCCTGAGGTGCTCCGAGGGCAGCAGGGAAGGAACGCTCGGGACGCAGGCTCTGAGGGAGGATTTAGGGTTTGCACGCAGCCCTGCCCAGAGAGGGCTGTCCGTGTACCAGGGGGCTCTGGGCCTCTGTGGGACAGTCCAGGGGCTCAGGGAGAAGGGGGATGAGGCCACACAGGCTGGCCCCCAAGGGCGCTGCCTCCAGCGCTTTTCCCAGCCCATCTCCAGGGCAGACGGGGCTCTGGGACCTGCAGAAGCCCCACTCTGTGGGCTGTGTTGAATTCAGTATTTCCTTGGTAACTGGGTCAGGGTTTCTTATCCAAGCCTTGAGTCTTCAGCTCCCCGTGCTCACGGGTGCCTGTGTATACCAGAGGGGTGGAGAGATTCTTTAAACTGGAGGAGGTGGTGCTGGGTGGCCTTGGGAGAGTGCTTGCCTCCTCGAGATCTGAGTTTCCTCTTCCCTAAAATGTGATAGATAGCGGAGACTCCTTCTAGCCAAAGCCTGGAGACATGTTCCAAATATCCCATGAATAGCTGGCAGAATTCCACAGGGAGGAAGGAAATCTTGTTCTGAGGCCTTTAGCCTGTGCTTGGGTGGGAAGTGGAGGGAGGAGATCCTTGGGGGCCAGGAGAGGTGGTGGTGGTGGTGGGGTGACTCGAGAATAAGCCAGAAAGTCAGAGGCCTGGTGACTCATTGGAACAGAACATCCTGTTTCTTTTCTATTTCCCAGTGGATTCTCCATGAGGCCTGGGGGGTGTGATGGGGAGAGGGAGGCGAATTCACACTGACAACCACATTAGATTTCTGGGCTGGGAAAGTGGGCCATGGGTCAGTATGTATTGCTGATTTTATCTCTGCTGGGTCCTTCAAATCCTCCTCCCATCCCGCATTCCCATGTTTGCCCTAGCTTGTCCCCCCAGCCTGGATTCCTGCCCACCTCCAACCCTGCCCTTTCTGAAGCATCTCTCCGTGGCCTGAGGGATCTGCCGAAATGCCTCATCACCCTAGGGGGAAAGTCTCTGCCTCTCGGTTGGCTATTCAAGGCCCCCGATCTGGTTCCTGCCCCTTGCCCCTTTTCTCCTGTCCATACTGCTTCGTCGTCATTGGCCCCAGAAAACACCTCGTACCTTCCCCTCTCTGGGTCTTTGCTCAAGAAGAATTTGTTGCTCCCTCCTATAGGTTTCCAATTTGTTACAAGATTTATTTTTGTATTTCTGTTGGAACACAATTACATTGTCTCCTTCCCCCGAGATTTATGGCAGGATTCAGGGACCCCTGCCCTCCTAGGTCTGAGAACCTTTGAGGGCTCCCTGCCCCCAGTGCAGAACCAGCCAACACAACAGATGCTCAGGAAAAATTATCGGAACCTCATACTCTCTGGAAAAGTAAATATGATTGGAATAACCCCTACCAGAAATTTGGGGCTTGTGGGACACCAAGTATAGCAGTAGGGCCCCGAGAGGATGAGGCCTCTGAGCTCCTGGGGCCTTGCTGAGGGGGCTCGGGTTCCCATTCCATCCCTGGTGTTGGGGATCTGAGAAGTGGGAAACATTTAACAGATGGATGTGTGTGGCCTGCTGGCTTGGATGTCTCCTCTCCCTCATCTCTCTGTGGAGCCCCATGTCAGACTTGGATGGCCTGCTTCTCCTCAGTGTGGCCTGGAGTCTCTGGGAGACTGCTATTCTCTCTGTTCTAGGATGTCTGCCACCATCTTTGCCTTTCCTAATGTAAAGGAAAGTGTGGGATGTGGTCTTTTTCTGATCAGTTGATGATGGTGGATATGGGAGGACACATACGTATCTAAGTGATAGTTATCTTGGGGAGTCCCATGGCATCTGGGGTCCATGCGCAGGGGCTGTATATCACAGGATGACAATAGTCACAAGAAGAAGAGAAGATACCCAGAAAAATCCCTTAGTACAAACGTCTCTGAGCTGTGGGCAAACAGGTGTGGCTGTCTTGATCTTTTCAACTTGCCTGATCCTGCTGCTGCCACTCGTCACAGGACAGGGCTGCGGGGGGAATGGTCGAGGGCAAGGATCCTGGACTGAACGTGCACCGTGGTGAAGGCATCTGCCTTCGTCCATCTTTATCAGACTTGCTCCTTTTGCCCTGGGCTTGAGATGCTGTGTTGGCCGTTCCATGTGGCAGACTGCCCATGTGACGTGAAACCCCGCGGGGCCCTCAGAGCAGACTGCACCTGTCCTCACAACATAAGCCAGGGCCCTCGCATGGTGCCACGCAGCGTCCATTCAGATACTGAATGCCTGTTGTGAGAACGGACCAGAAGGCCTATTTTACTGATGAATCAAGGAAGGGCCCCCAAATCTCAGAATCAGATAAGGAAACCGATACAAGGCAGAAGATAAGAGGGCTGAGCAGTCGCCCTTTGTTCTAGTTTAAAACTGCTGAAAAGGGGCGCCTGGGTGGCTCAGTCGGTTAAGCGGCTGCCTTCGGCTCAGGTCATGATCTCAGGGTCCTGGGATCGAGCCTCGCGTCGGGCTCCCTGCTCGGCGGGAAGCCTGCTTCTCCCTCTCCCTCTGCCTGCCTCTCTGCCTACTTGTGCTCGCTCTCTATCTCTCTGTCAAATAAATAAATAAAATCTTTAAAAAAAAAAAAAACTGCTGAAAAGCGAACATCTACCATAGGTGGCCTCCAACTCTATGCATCCACAAAGAACAGGCAAACCAGAAGTCAGAGAACAAATAACAGCTTGAAACCCAGTTCTTCTGGTGCCTTCTACCTCCTGAATTGGCTCATCATGTTTCCTTCGCTCTGCTCTGGTTGCCCCGGTTAATACTAGTAATTGGAGGGCGCCTGGGTGGCTCAGTTGGTTAAGCGACTACCTTCGGCTCAGGTCATGATCCTGGAGTCCCGGGATCGAGTCCCGCATCGGGCTCCCTGCTCGGCGGGGAGTCTGCTTCTCCCTCTGACCCTCCCCCTTCTCATGCTCTCTCTCTCTTAAATAAATAAAATCTTTAAAAAAAAAAAATACTAGTAATTGGAGGTGTCCAGCTTACTGCCACGGGCTCAGCTTGCCCGGGGCTGCTCATGCAGAGGAAGAGCCCTGAGCTCATGCTGGAAAAGGGAAGTGTGAGAATTTGACAGGCTTCATGTAGTCCAAATAGTCACTCATTCTGTGCTTAAGCAGCCTCCTAAAACTGGTACTAAAGAAAATTCACTGGGGCCTTGGAGAGCTTGCAAAGGACCCAGGCTGTGTGACGTCAGGCTGGCCCTTTGCCCTCTCTGGGCCTTTGCACTCCGATCAGTAAAACTGCAGAAAGAGGTGATTGCCCTGTACTCCCCATGGTACCCGGGAAGAGCATTGAGCTAGGAGGGAAAGGAGGGAAGCCCCCCCACCCCTTCAGCCATTTGGTGCTCTTGTTATCACTACGACTAATTAGCAGTAGGCTACAGGCAGGTCGTTTAACTTCCGACTGTATGCATTTTGTCTGTAAAATGGAGACAGTATCACTTCCCGGGGTTGCTGGAGCCATTATATGAGATAATGCCTGGCTGTGTCTGGTACCTGGGAGCATTGTTTCTCTCCACTCCATTCCTCATAGTTTGGGTAAAACCTCCTTTCTGGAAGTGGGGTGGTGTCAGGGGGTTAGGTGTGGAAGAGCCGCGACTGAGTGAGAGGATGCAGCCCTTCTGGCGGACTTACTCAGCGGCCTGGCCTGGCTCGGCCTCACCCGGAGCGGCCAAGTGGAGCCCCGACTGCGCAGGGCTGGAACGGCGCGGGTGTGTGTGGGGGTGGGGTAAGTGCAGTCACCAAGGGGGCAGGCAGCTGTGCAGGTCCTGGGCCCACACTCACAATTGGAGGAAGGAATTCAGGAAGTGCTCACAGCTACTCAGACATCTCGGAGCCTTGTCCGAAGCAGGACAAAGGCTGCAGCACCTAGGGATGAGTGGGCCATGGCCTGGCCCGTGGGGTGGCCCCCAGGTCAGGAGGCCATGGCACCGCGTACAGCCAGCGCTGTCACTCGGGGAAGCCCGGGGTAAGTTGTCATAGCACCTGAGCGTGGGTGGCAGGTGTGAGGGCTGGGGGGAGGCCATGCCGAAGAGGGCTTCTCGGGGACGGGAACCACATGGCAAAGGAGCCCCGTCGGAAGTCGCTGAAGGGGTTCAGGTCCTGGCGGGAGCATACCCTGCCCTCTCTAAACAGCACCCTCCCAGCCCTGTGTAGAAAACGAGGCCGAGTGAAAGGGACCGCAGCCCCTGCCGAAGGCCCCATGGCCCTCGTGGTTCCCCTGCAGTGGCCCCAGCCCGACCTTGCCCAGGGCTGGCATTGCCTTCCTGCCCACCTGCGTTCCTGCCCCCTGCCCACGGCCAGGAGCTCAGGAGGCAGCAGATAGGCTGACTCAAGGACTGGCCCAAGGTTCTTCCAGGGGAGGAGCCCAGGCTCATCCTGGATCCCCAGGAGGGGGAGTATTTTGTCTTGTGTCCAAGCAGACAAACTCTCTCGAAATGGGTAGGCGGCACCGGAGGGCCGGGTTGGCAAGGTTCTCTCTGAGCAAAGTCTTCTGCTCCCTCTTCCTCAGCCCCTCCGAGTCCAGGGAGTCTTGAGCTCACATCTTTCAGGACAGCTCTTCTTCCAGAAGCTGCCAGTGGAGTTGACCACGGCTCTTGGGATCCTGGCCAGAGGCTTAGAAAACAGTAACAGAGAGCAGCTGAGGTCTGATGGCGCAATGCGGAGTGCCCACTGGCCTGGTGGGGCCGTGACCCAGGGCCTCAGACCGGCATCTGCTAGGAGCCCACAAGGAGTGTGGCTGGAAGAGCGGGGCGCCTGCTACCCCCCAGAGCCCCCTGTTTTGGGTGGGGAGCTGAGGCTCTAAGACTTGGCCCCGGTTGCTCAGCAGGTCAGCTGCCACGCAGGGCCATGGAAACAGCAGTGATTGGCATGGTGGCCGTGCTGTTCGTGGTCACCGTAGCCATCACCTGCCTCCTCTGCTGCTTCAGCTGTGACTCGAGGACCCAGGATCCTCAGGGGGGCCCTGGCCGCAGCTTCACAGTGGCCACGTTTCGCCAGGAGGCTTCTCTCTTCACGGGGCCGGGTCACCATGCCCAGCCGGCGGCGGCGGGTGCCCGGGACTTCTGGACCTTCATGTGAGGCCTCACAGTCCGCAGGATTTGTTCTGCTGGTGGGTCAGACCCACTCACCCCTCAGTAAGCCTTCCCTGGTGTCCCACTCCTCCAAGTCTGCTTTGGGCGAACTCCCCGTCCCAGCCCAGCTTGCTGTGCCCGCCAGCCTGGGAGATCCGCAGGGCTGGGACCAGGTGGAATTCAGCTCCGAGCCCTGAGAGTTCAGCTGGACCCTGCCCACAGGCTGGGGCCTAGGAGAGGCCTGAAGAGTGAGTGACTGACTGGGCACTGTCAGATGGCACGGAGACCAGCTCTTCTGATTTACCGGGGACTGCAATATCACCGGAGCTGACTGGGAACAGAGGGCTAGTTCACTCAGGTTAGCCCAGCGTGCCCGAACAACTGGTTCTATTGCCACCAGAAGAAACAGCGCCCTCGAGTGGACATTTTTACATTTTTATCTGCCCCTCTGATGGGTTCGGTTCCTTGCAAGGGCACATAGCACAGAATCCAACCCTGAGACCTGTCCTCTACCGGTTGCCTGAAATCAGACCTGCAATTCTGCAACCAAAGGGCTGCTTCCTTGGGAACAAGCCATTTATTTTATAATTGAAAATGTATATCCTTATATAGGTCTCTCAAGAACCAGGGCTGAAAACTACAAAAGGAAACAGAAGAGAAAAAAAAAATAGTCACAGAAAGTACAAGCTGTTTGATTAACGGGAAAGCCAAGAAAGAAGACTTTGAAACATATTTTGAATGAGACTTTATTACTATATTCTTATAGGTCACTTCTGTTCTTAGAGAATGTGAGTGAATTGCGTCACTTGGGAATGATAGAAAAATCATGAACTGAAAGATAATTCCAAATAAGTTAAAATGTTATGTTACATCGAGAGCATGTAACAAAGCTCTTGTTTTTGTCACAAATAAAGAGATGCTCAGTTTTTATTAATAGAAAATCTGATTTTTTTTTCTGTACCAGGAAATAAATCCTGTGCCATATTTATTTCTTTTAATTTTTTAATTTTTTAAAAGATTTTATTTATTTATTTGACAGAGAGAGACACAGTGAGAGAGGGAACACAAGCAGGGGGAGTGGGAGAGGGAGAAGCAGGCTTCCCGCCGAGCAGGGAGCCCGATGCGGGGCTTGATCCCAGGACCCTGGGATCATGACCTGAGCCAAAGGCAGGCGCTTAACGACTGAGCCACCCAGGTGCCCCTCCTGTGCCATATTTAGAATATAGTTTGAAGGGTGCAAACTTCTGGGTCTCCTGGCTCATATGTCTCCATTCAGCCCTGAATGGATGGCTCTCCTAGGACCCGCCTATTGTAGGGGGCAAAACTGACCCTGCCAGGGGTCTGGCCTCTACGGGTACCCAGACAGGCCATCTTGGCCACAGGAAGGACTCTCAGAGAGAGGCTTGCGGCTGCAGAGGTGGAGAGGGGGGAAGGGGCCAGGGAGAGTGTCAGGCTGGCAGAGAGGGATGGAGTAGGGGAGCATGGGGAAGGGAGAGGCACGGCCCAGGGACAGGAGTTCCTGGGAGCTTGTTGTGGTCACTCTGGACCTGAAAGCCCCCAAACAGGGCTTTCCTAGATGCACGTGGAAGGAAACGGTTGCAGGTTGCATTCTCCACAAATGATCACTGAGACAAAGTTTGGGGTGCAAGATGTTTATAGGGGTCAACATCTGTGAGCGGAACGAGGAGAAAGCAGGATTAGATGAAGAGCAAATCAGATTATGATGCAGACCCTTAATACCCACCTCCTACCTTTGCTCAGTCTCTGAGTGCGGCCCACCCCCGTTCCCTGTCCCCCAAGGTCTGACCTCTGGCAAAGCAGCTCTGCAGCTGAGGCTGCCCCTGAAGTCCTTCCTTGAAGGGGTCCTGGGTGGTGCCTTTCTCAGAACTCAGCAGGGACCTGTTCTCAGGGGTGCCCAGACATCAGAGGTAGGGGAGCATGTCTAGACACAAAGAAATACCTGGGCATGGAAGCTCCAGATGGGCAGAGATAGAAGTGCAAGGTCTGGGGCGCCTGGGTGGCTCAGTTGGTTAAGCGACTGCCTTCGGCTCAGGTCATGATCCTGGAGTCCCGGGATCGAGTCCCGCATCGGGCTCCCTGCTCGGCAGGGAGTCTGCTTCTCCCTCTGACCCTCCTCCCTCTCATGCTCTCTGTATCTCATTCTCTCTGTCTCAAATAAATAAATAAAAATCTTTAAAAAAAAAAAAGAAGTGCAAGGTCTGGGAGGGGAGAGCAAAGTCAGCTCCAGTCCAGGTCAGGTGCCTTTCAGCCGGACCCAAGTATCAGGACCCCAGGCCTAGAGCTCTGTCTCTGTGCTGCATGGTCACAACCTCCTTGGGTCCGTGGAAGCAGAGTGTGCAGGCTGGAATCACATGACTCTGAAAACAAAGTGATGGCAAGGAGCCTGACCTCACACTGTAGGTGATGGGCAGTCTGTCAAGTCCTGAGGTTTCCTCATTTGTTCACTTGCTAATCCACCCACTTATCTGCCCATCCATCCATCCATTCATCCACTCACCCACCCATTCACCCGCTCATCCATCCATCCATCCATCCATCCTTCTATCCATCCATCCACCCATTCACCCACTCATCCATCCATCCATCGATCCATCCATCTATCCATCCATCTACTCACCGAGTCTTCCTTCTTTCCTCAAGCATTTGTTCATTTATTCTGTCACCTGTTCTCTTATTTAGTCATTCACTCCTCTATCAATACACACTGACTGAGCACCGACTGTGTACCAGGCTCTGCCCAGGGAACATGAGAGTCAACCAGACATGGTCCCAGCACTTGGTGAACTCCCAATTTAGTGACCTGGACAAGGCTGCACATAACACACTCAGGTGCTCAGGGGAGGGAGAGCTGGGAGACCCAAGGAAACCGGGGAGGAGGTGGCCCTTGAGCTAGACCTGAAGAAAAGAGGGCACTTCAGCAGGAAGAGTTTGGGAGAGGGTGTTCCAGAGGGAGCAGCGTGAGTGGTGATTCAGAGAACATGTGGGGGCAGGGAGTAGGCAGTTCAGTGGGAGGAGATGAGGCTGGACCACAGCCAGCTCCCCAGGGAAGCACTTCTTACTTCCACATCTGGAATGGTTCCAGATGCTTCCACATCTGGCCAGCACGTTTCTGGACAATAGATGATGAAGGCAACAAAGAGGCAGCCTTGCTTGTTGGGCCGGACAAGCAGTCTTTCCAAGCGCACACACACACACCAGCATTGCAATCTGCTATTGCTACAAAGGAGCTAGAGAGAAGGTCTTTGGAGACTCTGGGCAAGGCCAGCCTCAAGTGGAGCTGGGCTCAAGGATGTGGGAGAAGCTGCCCCAGAGATCAGGGAGTTTGAGAAGGGAAGGTAGGCAAGGCCAGCACCCTGGAGCAGGCCGACAGAAGGAGGAGGCTGAGGAGGAGCAGCTGAAGAAGAGACAGGAGGGTGGGGAGCACATGGGACAGAGAAGCAGGGAGTAGGGTTGCCAGATTTAGCAAATAAAAATGCAGGACATCTAGTTATTTTAACTTCAGATAGACCAAAAAAAAATAGTATTTAATATAAGTATGTCCCATGCACTATTTGGGACAGACTTATACTAAAACATTATTTGTTGTCTATCTGAGAGTCTATTTTAACTGGTGCCCTATATTTTATCTGGCAACCTTGCAAGGGAGAAAGTGGTTCTCAGAGAGGACGAGTCAGCCAGTTGAAAGCATCAGGGGGGCTGGCGACGGTGAGCACAGAGCAGAGACCTTGGATTTTGCAACATGAGGGTTGACAATGACCTTGGTGAGAAGAGTTTGAGTGGAGTGAAGGGAGTGGCCCTATGGTGGTGTGCACGAGCATGTGTGTGAAGGGGGCGTGTGGGGGTGTGTGTGTGCAAGGGCAGTTGAATCAGTGGGAGCTGAGGAAGGGGAGGTTGCCGTTGAAGATAATTTGAAGGGGAGAAGGGCCATGTACTTTGACCAGAACGGCACCATGCTGAGGGAGAGGTGATTATTATTTTTAGGAACGGGAGGGAGGCTGAGCATGTGTTGAGCAAGGAGGACTGGGGAGGGAGACCCTAACAGTACTCTAGCAAGGAAGAGACCCCAGAGGGGTCCCCAGGATGGGCCTGGGGGTCAGGCCCGGATGGTGGCGTATGGGTGCAGCAATGCTGCTGGGAAGGATGTTCGGCGGTGCAGGTAAAGCCTGCGTGCTTGCCTGTCGGGGGCAGAAGAGAGAGGAGCATGTCACGCCGGAAGGTCCGTTTTCTCAGCGAAGCAGGAGCATCTGCTGGAAGCTGGGTATGGGGTAGCTGGGATTAAGGAAAGTCTGGAGGGATGGCCCAGAGAAGGGATGAGCAGCTCCTACAATCCTACTTTCCTTATGTATGTGGAGTGTGTGGGTGCAAGAGTATGCGTGGGGTCTGTGGCGTGAGGGGGGAGTGTGTGTGTGATGTGCGTGAGGAGGGTGTTGTGTGGTGCCCAGATGCTCCTGCCCTGCAGCCCAGCGCGGCCCGCTGCGTGAGAAGAGGGGGGGGCTCTGGAACAGGCCGGCCGCAAGCGCCCCTGCCTCGCTGGGGAGGAAGGGGCGGCCAGGAGAGAGACACTAGAATGCCAGCAGAGCCAGGAGTGTTTATCTGGGGGCAGCAAGGGAAGGGGCTGCTCAAGGTCACCCAAGAAATCTGGGGCGGAGCCTCCCTTGAACCCGGTTTCCAAATCCAGCCTTCTCCCCGGTCCTCCTGCTGTTACCAGTTCCTATTCATTAGACTTCTCCTATGCACAGAGCTAAATGCTTTCTATAGATCTTCTCCTCAGAGCTCACAGCCACCCATCCCCTCTATTTTGTAGCTGAGGAACCCAGCTGCTCACTGTGAGGCACTTTGGACTAAATGCCTTACAGCCCTGCTGTCGTAAGAACCTACAGGCACAAAGCTCAATTGTCCTTTTCATCCATAAATGGGGTCCGCCTCCAGCGACCTCTCAGCAGACCCGTTTCCTATCTTAGAATGAAGGGAAGGCCAGAGCACCTGGGGATCTGATGTGCCCTGTGTTTCCCTGGACAGGAGCTTTGTGCC